ACATCGCTGGTGGGTACTACGATAGCACAATCCCCATGGAGGGTAATTTGACAATTTGGAGCAAAATTACTTATATGCATTCTCCCTTTGACCCAACCAATCCACTTCAAGGAATCCATTCCAAAGATGTACTGGCGAAGAGAAAAGACATACACATGAAGTCATTCATGGTAACTGCTGTTGGTAGAAGCTACTTTACAAAAGACTGCAACAGCCCAGGGGACTGACTGAATAATACTACCAAGTATATAATTCCATATACTACTGTGGAGTGATCACCACAATATATTGTAGGTGGGAAAAAAAACCAAAAACAAAACTCAGTAGGCAAAACAGTGTGTTTAATATGCTATCTTTTTATTGAATAAAGAAACACTGCACACACACGTATGTATTATGTATTTGCCCACATCAAAAATAACAAAAGAAGGATAGAATAAAAATGAATTCGTTATAGGAATAATACTAGTATGAATAAAATAAAATGAATTTAATAATAAAAATACTCTATGGGGATAGAAGCAACAGGGGTCAGACACAGAGATAAATGTTAGACTCCTCTGAATATATCTTGTTTTGTGAGTTTAGTTTTGGCATTGTGTCAAGTTTTATATCATCATAAAACAAAATTAAATTAGAACGAAGTATAAGCAACCCCTAAAAAGCAAAAGCAACATGAAACAAATGAACTTAACTAGGTATCATTGATGGATTAAACTCCACAGAATTATTTCAAGTGGCAGAAGCAAAATCATTTGTCTGTACTTCTCTAGTCTGGTATACCTGAAGGCAGAAAGAACTATAAAGAAATTTTAAATTGGTTTTAGTAATGATAGTGTTAGTAATGTTATTCTGAAACTATTATATCTTCTACATGTACCTGTATGTGTGTATGTATTAAGATAAAGCAAATAAGCAATTGTGTTAATATCACTATAAACAAGAATGTCTACTTAATTGAAAAGAGATACAAATATAAAATGAAGGAAGCTTACATAGATGACGTTTATGGTATGTGAATTGTATCTTAGTGAAGCTATGAAACAAGAGAAAGAAAGTATAAATCTTGTCATCCTGAATTTGGATTGGGAATACTAGTATAAATGCATGATGTATTTTCTCTTTAAAAAGTATTTCCTGCTTTGTCCCCCTGAAAAGGCCTGGGGAAAATGACTAACCCTAGCAACGTGAGCAACCTAGCCATCAAGATGGTGGTCTCTAAATACCATTTCCAATGAAAAGGAACCAGGGCTCCTTGGAAGATGACCGACTCCAGGTGGAGGCAAGAAGTGTACAGGATGAACATGGGACATCTTTAAATACTAGACATCAAGGCTGTTTTCTAAGATTACTGGAGTATGTCAGAAGGATTCAGGAGCTAAGAGGAAAAGGCCAAAGGGAGAAGAAGAGAGAGGAAGAAACCTATGGATTTAGAAGAGACTAGAGACCAGCCCAATTCAATGTGTGGACCATGCTTACATTCTGATCTAAATAACCAACTATTAAAGTATGCAACAACAGCAAACATTAATGAGATAATAGGAGAAATCTGAAATTGACTGTTGCTATTAAGAAATTATAGCTAGGAGCGCCTGGGTGGCTCAGTTGTTAAGCATCTGCCTTTGGCTCAGGTCATGATCCTAGGGTCCTGGGATCGAGCCCCACATCGGACTCCCTGCTCTGCGGGAAGCCTGCTTCTCCCTCTCCCACTCCCCCTGCTTGTGTTCCCTCTCTCGCTGTGTCTCTCTCTGTCAAATAAATAAATAAAATCTTTAAAAAAAATAAAATAAAATAAAATAAATTATAGCTAGTGTTTTAGATGTGATAATGGCTTTGAGAGGAGTTGTTTAGGTGTGGTTATGGTTTTTAAGGTGGCCTTACCTTATAGAAATTAATGCTAAAGTATTTTATGGATAAAATGGCATGATTTCTGGGAGTTTCCAAAATAATATAGAGAGTGGGAGGGGCTAAGAGAAACAAAATTGACCATGGCTGAAATCACTGGATCTGGGTAACAAGTCCATGAAGTTTCACTGTTTTGTTTTTCAACTTTTGTGCATGTTTGAAATCTCCCGTAATAAAAAGTTTTAAAAATATATCCCCACCTGGCGGGAAAAAAGAGTACCCTTTGCACAAAGGTGCACCCAACTAGGAGAAAGAAATGTTTGAGGAGGCTGGCTCCATCTGTCAAGAAATAAAGAGGGGCTGCAAAATGAGCAGCTAAAACATGAAGACCCAATAAAAGAACGAGGAAAAACAGATAATAAAAATAAGAAATAAATAGGTTCTACACTAGCAGCAAAGAGTTTTAAGAAATGCTTATCAGACCCATGTCGTGCTTTTTGCCAGGATCTCTCCCATGAATTATTTTTGTTCATTACTTATGGTCTTCATCAGCTCTAGCTTCTTTAACAGACTACCATAAGCTGGGTGGCTTCTCAACAACAGAAATGTGTTTCTTATAGTTCTGGAGGCTGAAGTCTGAGATCACAACACCATCATGGTCAGGTTCTGGTGAGAGCCATCTTCAGGTTCAGATGGCCGGCTTCTCCTTGTATCCGTATATGGTGGAAAGAGAGCTAGTTAGCTCTCTGGCCTCTTTTTATTTTTTATTTTTATTTATTTTTAAAGATTTTATTTATTTATTTGGCAGAGGGAGACAGTGAGAGAGGGAACACAAGCAGGGAGAGTATGAGAGGGAGAAGCAGGATTCCTGCTAAGCAAGGAGCCTGATGTGGGGCTCAATCCCAGGACACTGGGATCATGACCTGAGCCGAAGGCAGACGCTTAACTGACTGAGCCACCCAGGCGCCCCTCTGGCCTCTTTTTAGAAGGGCACCAGTCCCACTCATGAAGGCTCTACTCTCATGACCTGATTACCTCCCCAAAGGCCCCTACCTCCGCACATCATCACAGTGGGGATGAAATCTCAACATACGAATTTGAGGGAACATAGACACTCAAGACTGTAACACTAATATTGGAACTGATATTTTTCGGGGTCATATTTTCACTCGTGTATCCATGTACATTTGATTGTTGGGAGTCAAGTTGGGTCACGTTACCAGCAGCTTACTGTTTTTGTTTGATCCTGTCTTTGTGTATTGAGAGAAAGTTGCATCCATTTGCATAGTGATGTTTTCATTATTATAAAGTGAAAAAAGAGTCTACGGAGCTCAGTACAGATATATACCAAAAGGTTAGTTGCCTTTGTGTTTTAGGATTATGGGTATTTTTTATTTATTTGTGTTTGTGTGTCCATCCATCAGTATTTTTTCCCCAAAATCAACACCTATTACAAGCTACACCATAAATAAGGCTTTTTTTAAAAAGTAAAAATTAACATAATGAACTTTCTAATCAGCTGAATAACACAGGGAAAAGGAGAGGAAAAGGAAAAAAAATATGTTGAGAACGTTTGGCAAGATCTTAGGGGATTTTATTAGCATATGACAGCCAGTACCTATTGGGAAGCAGACAAAATCCTGTCCAAGCCTGATTGAGAAACTTTGCAAACATTTTATAAGCTCAGTCCCGACGCAGGAGGAGAGGTTCTTGGTGCGGGCTTATCCAGGGACCTTGTTTTCTTTGCTGTTACACGTAGGTTGTGGCCAGGACCCTCGGTGCCTCTGGGAGAACATCAGATATATTAATGTACTTTGATTTGATCTGCCAGGTATGAGAAACCTGCATGCCCCCTGTACACAGAAGGGAAGCGTGCTAACTCAGAAGTCCAAAGGAAAGCTGCTCTGCAGGGAATGGCCTTTCTGTTATCAAGTGTTGACGACTTCTTCCTAGCCATGAGTAATGGGGCTTGGGGGGTGTGGGGCAGGATGGCAAGTTTTCTGCCTCTTTCAAGTTCACTTCAAAATCTCTAATAATATTAGGCCTCCAAGTGATTATTGATAGTATTCCTCCTGGGTAGGGTGATCATGATGGTTAGTGAGGATGGAAGTGAGAAAGGTTTGCTTAAGTTGGAGTATATTCACAGGGCTAAGTTCTAGCTCCTGGGCTTATACGGCCTCTCCTCCAGTCTTCAGGTTTTCAGGGGCTGATTTAGGTTGAGTTAGAAACACAGGGATGGAGCCAAGGCCTAGGCCTCTTCCACACCTTCATTCTTGGCCGGCAAGGCCCCAAGCAGGCCCCACTTCAAGAATCAACACACAGTAGACGATCAAGTGCTGGCCGTGTTCTGGGCCACCAGGTGCCCCGAGAAAGGTCTCAAAATCCGGTGCTAGGTTCCATGCATCCCTGAAGAGCTTGGTTTCTCCCGTCGTTCTCCCCTCATTGCCATCTCAATCCCTACTGACTTTGTCCCCACCACCCACAGCCTGCACCCTGGCAAGTAAAACTTTCTTTTCCCTTCTCAACTCAGCGTCATCCCGCCCTTCCTTTTCTCCCCCTTTCCCTCCCATCTTTCCTCCAGGCCAAAATTACCCCCTCCTCTTCTGCATGTGCCCCTCCCCCACCTCCTGAGGAGCTTGGGGTTCCCTCCATCCTTGTCTCTGCCAGGCTCCTACCTGTGGGAGGCCTCCCTTCAGCCCTGCCTCCTGTGGCTGTTCTCCCTCTCATCGAGAATTCTCCTTCCTCCTCACCCTGGGTGGTCCACCTCCCAGAATGCTCCGGGCACTAGCTGTCTTTGGGTCTCTTTCTGCTCACCTGGTCAGTATGTCACCTCCGTGTTCCCAGACTGCAGGGACAGTGTAGGTGCGTGCCTGGGTCGCCTGCCAGAGAGCTTGCCGTGCTGCACCTCCATCCTGGCCGAGCGGTCTTGCCTCTCCACCCCTGTAGCCGGCCGTGTGGGCACTGGCCAGACCTGCCCCTTCAAACTCAGGCTCCAGTAGACAAGCTGTGTCAGATGCCGCACAGCAGCTCCCCCCTGACCAGGGGCAGGGAAGGTGCTTCTGGCAGATCCACTGCCCTGACAGATGTGCTGAAGAGCCAACCTGTACTCCTGCTTGTTGCCTTTGGGAATCCTCAACAGCCCTGTTGTATTCCAGGTTCTCCAAGCCAGCACCCATGTTCCTGGATGACTCTTTCCGCAAGTGGGCTAGGATTCGGGAATTTGTGCCGCCTTTTGGGATCAAAGGTCAAGGTAGGTTGGGAGCCCTGGCTCACTCTATATTAACATGGGATCCCTCAGCCTGTCTCCCTGCACTCAGGACAGGGCTGTACACTCAGAAGTCCCCATGCTGGGGATCCACTCCTCTCCCTCCCTCTTCCCCTTCCTTTCTTTCTTCCGACTTCAGTGGACTGTTTATTTACTCAGAACCCACCACTTGGCCAGGGTCAGGCATACAGCAGTTCAGTGGACAGTACAGTCCTGCTCCTTAAAAAAGCTCCAGTCTAGTGGAGACCCAGGTACTTAGAGTGCAGGGCAGTAAGGGCTCTGACAAGGTAAGAGCACAGTGAGATCACAGGACAGGATGCCAGGGACATCCATGCCGGAGGACCAGATATGAGAGGGAAATCCCTGAGAAGACAGAGGCCATCCCTGACAAAGACCCCAGCCTCCTCCATCATCCCCTCCTTACTACCCTGGTCTCTCCAGTCCTTTCTTACCCTGTCCAAGGCTTACCTGTCCCCTGTGCCCTCAGAACTGTCCCCTTCCATTGCCTTAGGGACCTTGCTCATGCAGCTCCCTCCTGACTTAAGACTTTCCCACCCCTGACAGTTTAACAGTTCTGTTGCCTTGTCAAGTGCCTGCACTGTTTCATGGCATTGTAGAGTTTGGGCTTTTAGGGTCAGACATTGAAGGATCAGATCAGTACTACTTCTTTACTAGCTGTGACCTTGGACAAGTTACTTAACCTATCTGTGCTTTAGTTTCTTCATCAGTTAGATGGAGAAAAATACTACCATTGTATTAGGTTGTGGTCAGAATTAAGTAAGATCACTGTTGAAGGTGTGATATCATTTGGCCAGGGGACTAAAAAATACATGAATCCTCCACTCAGTCAGTCCATCCCTCCCTGAAAAGAAAACAGGGACCGGCAAAAGGACTCTTTGGAATGGGAGTTTTGATCTCAGATCCCCAAAGACAAATCCAGTGGGTAGGGCTGAACTATGTGAAGAACTCCTTTTTACTGGGTGCAAGTAGCTAAGCAGCCTACTCTTCTCCTAAATCCTTGCTCAAGACTCTGATTCTACTAAGCTACAAAGACCTGGAAAGGCTGGTACACAGCCCATTGGCTAGCAAGAAGAGAGCACCTGCTAGTTTATACCCTTTCTCCTAACGTCCCCTCCTAGAAAACAAAAACCCAAGCCATAGCCTTGACTTTGGCCAATGAGTAGCAATATGCTTTTTCTTAGAGGTGCAATGGGAGGTGGGAAAAGGAGGAGGTCTGTGGCCTTCTCTGAAGCCCTGCAGAAGGGATGCCTGAAAGCACTGAGTATAGAACCCTCCTTAAAGATCTCTTCCTTACCCATTCTCCTTCATCTCCTGGGAAGATTCGCTGTGCCTGCTGCCTCCTCTTTCTCACCATTTAGTCCTGAGCACTCTCTTCCTTCCACCATCCGAGTGACACTGCTCAGTGCCCCCGTGAAATCCAAAGGGTCTGTTTCAGTCCCCAACTTGACCTCTTGGCTGCATCTGACAGTGTTGTCCACCCTGTCTTTTAAAAAAAATGATGGGGCTGTTATTTTTAAGTTGGGAGGCATTCTTTCTTTACATGGAATACTTCAGGCATATAAAAAAGAATGAAGACTAGTACAGTGAGCACCGTGTACTGTATACCCAGCTTAAGGAATAAAACATGAAATACAGTTAAAGCTATGTGTAGCCCTTCCCGTTCTATTCCCCTCCTTCTCCAGGAGACCGTTAGTCTGGTTTTAGGGTTATTGTTCCAATGCCTGTGTATCTATTTCTGTGACATATTTATATATCCATCTAAAATGTATTGTTTTTGCATGTTTTTACATTTTACAAATAATATTTTGTGTGTGTGTGTGTACTTTTCAGATTAATTTTTTTGCTTCTGCTTTTCAGGTTTATCTGTATCAGTACACATAGCCCAAGGTTGCGTCTTTGTTTGTTTTTACTGCTGTGTAGTATTCCATGTACCACATTTAACCTGTTTTCCTTTGGCAAACATTTAGTTTGCCTCTAACATTTACTATTACAGACAGGTCCGCAGCAAACCTTCTTGTCTCCTTAAACAAATGTGTGAGCATTCAGATGCTGTCTTCCTAGGAAGAGAGTTGAACGATCTTAGTGTACGCACATCTACATCTTTGCTTAATGTTACTAAGATGCTCTCCACTATGGCTGCACTGATCTACTTACTTTATCTCCAGATCTCTATGTACATTACCTTTTCATCTTCCTAACGACTCTGCAGCATAGGAATTGCCATCTTCATTTGAAAGATGGGGAATTAAAATGCGAAGAAAGTAAGTGATTAATCGGAGGTCCCAGAGCTCTGAAGTAGCGCAGCCAGGATTTGACTCCAAAGCCAATATCATTATACATTATATGATAATGTTCCCATTATGCCAGAGTTTGAAAAGAGAGCAGTTCCCATCGCCAAAGCCAGAGAGAGGCCAAGAAGAATGAGGTCTGAATAGTGGTCACAGGATCTGAGGACACAGAGGTCCTGGGCCCCTTGCTGAGGACCTCCTGAGTGGAGTACAGGTGGGCAGATGCCAGGCCTTAGGGCTTGGAGATGGAAGGTGGCAGAGACAGGCTGGCAAGACCAGGACTGGAGATCGGCAGTGTTGGAGGGGGAAGTGAGGGGAAGACAGTATCAGAGACTGAGGCAAAGGGGTCTGAGTTGGGAGCTGGCAGAGCCCACTCGAGCTCTTTAGTGTTAGTGGCCTCTGTCTCTGGGCAGATCCCGGGCCTGGGGATCCGTGTCCTGGGGCCTGAGTGCAGAGCCTCCGAAAGCCAGAGGAGACCTCCCAGGAAGGGCTGGGAGCCCTGGGAGAGAAACTGCATGTGGGTGCTGGGGACTGGCTCTGGGCAGAACCGAGTGTGCCTGCCTGTTCCCCTGCCTCTGTCTCGTTCCTCGGGACTACAGCTAGGCCAGTGGCCCAGCGCAGCCTTGTGCCCAGAGCTCCCTCCCCACACCGTCACATCCACCTCCACCCTGCGCAGGGGTGTGTGCCTCCCCCCCATCATCCGCAAACACTGCACGGGCATGCCAGTGACCCTCTAACGGTAACCTCCCTCCTCTGTCCACAGACAATCTGATCAAAGCCATCTTGTCAGTCACCAAAGAGTACCGCCTGACCCCTGCCTTGGACAGGTGAGCCACTTACTACCCAGCCCCCTGCCCCTCGGCTGCCTGGCATGTGCAGAGGCGTTGAGACCCCGCCAGCCCTGGCTGGACACGAGCAGATTCTCCAGCGTGTCCACAGGCGCACACACAGCGCCCATGCTGGGGTGGTAAGCAGATAAGATAAGGGGGGCCATCCAGCTGGCCTGCACCCCCTGGGCTGTAAGCACTTGGCAAGATATTTCAGTCCTCAGCCGTCCGAGGTCTGAGGGTAAGGACAGAAGACACTGGGCTGAAATCAGCCCAGCACTGGGACTGAGAGCCTGGGTGGTCGAGGCAGGTGGGGGGGCCAGGGCTTAAATGCAGGAGGCAGTGACAGCTCTGAAGCCAATGGACCCTGGAGGGGGGAAGCCCCAGGCGGGAGGAGCAAGATGAATAGGGCTTTCTGATGGCCAATGGGAGCATGGGGGCTTCTGAGCTGAATATAAGCCCAGCCTTGGGTCCCAGAGCCTCCAGGCCTGTCCTCTCTCTTGAACTCCACTAACCCTTGGGGAACCTTTAGCCTAGAATGCCATCTTACCAGAGGCTCCTTCCTCACCACCCCAGAACTGGTGCCCTTGCCCCTTCCACAGCCACGCTGTCCTGGAGAGTGTCTGGGACTAGGGATGTCAGAGAGTCCCAAGTGGCCCAGCTACCCACAGTATGGTTTTGGCCTCAGAATGCTGCCAGAAGCCCATTGGTCTTCCCCGATCCTGCACTTGGCCAGAGGGGTAGGGAGAAGGAGCCCTAGTGGGCAGCTCTCTAGAGGTCTCTGCCTCTCTCCCCTCAGCCTCAACTGCCGCCGCTGCATCATCGTGGGCAACGGAGGTGTCCTTGCCAACAAGTCTCTGGGGTCACGAATTGATGACTATGACATTGTGGTCAGGTGAGCTCCCCAAAGCAGGGCCTCAGGCACCTGAGGGTCCTGGCCCAAACCCTTGTCCCCGAGTCCATTGAGAACTGTCTGTCTATCTGGCCATTTGGGCTGGAGGTCAGCAGAAGCCTAGAGAAGAACCTCTAGGTTTGGAGGGCTCTGGAAAGCTACGTGGCTCCAGGTGGCCTGGCTCCCTGTTCTCTGCCCCTGGGGAATTCTGGGGTCATGGTCCCTCCCCAAACACGAGCCCACAGGCCCCATGCAGTGAGCCCAAGGCAGGCTCTGACTGGGCCTGCTCTCTGTAGACTGAACTCAGCACCAGTGAAAGGCTTTGAGAAGGACGTGGGCAGCAAAACTACACTGCGCATCACCTACCCTGAGGGCGCCATGCAGCGGCCCGAGCAATATGAACGCGACTCTCTGTTTGTCCTCGCTGGCTTCAAGTGGCAGGACTTCAAGTGGTTGAAGTACATCGTCTACAAGGAGAGAGTGGTGAGCTCCCCATGCACCAGCTCCTTCCCCTCTTGCCCTGGCCTTGCCCGGCTGCCAGGTCAGCCCCTTTCCCTGAACCCAGCAAAGAGCAAGTAGGAACCTTTCAAAAGAAGCGTCAGTGACCTAAAGCTGAAAGACACACCCAAGCTCAACCAAGGGACAGAGAGGCCAGGGGGTCCAAGGGGCGCTGGTGTGGGCTCCTGGAGCTACTATGTCTGATATCTGCCACCCGCCCAGATGCCCAGACGGTGTATGCTTTTCCAGCCTTCTCTAGCCAGACCCTGAGTCCCTCCCCAGCAGGCCCTGCAGGCCCTTTCCTGGCCTTAGGTCCCCCTGGAAGGAAAGCTTTCATCTGGCTAGCCTCAGTGTCACTCCTAATCATCTCAGTCCCCTGCCCCCACCTTGTAGTGGCCTCCCCAAGCCCCTTACCCTCTGCGAGGCCTCTCTCATGTGGATCCACCCTCATTCCCAGCCCGGGGAGGAAAGCCTTATCTGGATTCTGGGGCTATTCTGCAGGGATAGCAGACCCTTCAGTGAGCTTGAGGGGGCCAGTTCCCAAGCCCATAAAGTCCTGGTCTCTCCCCACTTTGTACTTGTACTGCTGACCTGCAGCTGGATTCCCCAACTGCCATTGAGTCTGGTTGCACTTCGGGAATGGTCAGACTCTGTCCTCATTGTTGTAGGCAGGCAAGGGCCTGGGCCCATTTCTCTAGGGAGATTGTGTGGCCAAGTAGGGTGACTGCTTCTTGGTGGACCACCCACTGAGTCCCCTCCTGAGTTCTCTTTTTCTCAGCTCTGGGCCTACAGGGATACCTGCCAACGTGTCCGGGCCCATTTCCCCTCTCCCCTCAACCAGCTGTCACCAGCCACCCGAGGGGAGGGGTACTGCAGAGTTCAGGCCATTCGTCTTCCAATACCCAAGCCTGTTACCAGAGGAGAATGATGACAGATGGCCTCCGCCTACAGTTAGAAGCTGGTTGTTCTTTCTGGAGGTTTAGAGGCGAGTTCGGGGTTGGGAACAGCTTAACCTGCCTGAGGAGGTCTCAGTGCAGTTTGGTTTAACTCCACAGCCCTTGCCCAAGCAATGCCAAGTGCAGGCAGTGTCGAGTAGGTAGCAAGCGAGAGGGAAGACAGAAGTCGGGTCCAGGAATCCAGGTAGGTGGGACAGTGGGGAAGGGGAACCCACCCAGAGCCAAGCGGAATGAGGCGGCCAGGCTCCACTGAGTCTAACTTGGCTCCCCAAAGGGGAGCAAGGGGGTTGGCTTCAGCCAGCTCTAGCTGCAAGAAGGCCCATGCAAACCAGGGAGGGAATGGGGGCTGAGGGAGCACCCTTCTGTTTTTAGAACCATGGCCTGAAAACTAGTGTCCTCAGGGCCCGCCCTTCTCTCTGCCTTGAAGGCGACAGAAGTGGGATCACAGATAGGCATTTCTCAGGGGAAATGGGAGGGAATTGAGTCTGCCTTGGTGAACCTCCAGGGAGCCCGAGGGCTGCTCTCTCGCCCTGGCCTCTTGCCCGCCGGCCCAGCCTCTCCTGGCACATCCTCTCCTCTGTGCACAGACACCTGTCAGAGGAGCTCCTGGACGGCAGGGGCCTCAACCCATTGGCTTTTTTTAAACCCCTCAATGCCCAGTCATCATAAATGCCCTGGTGTTGGCTCAAACACCAGATCCTGCTTCCTGCTGAGCAGACTGGGTTCAAACAGGCAGGCCAGGGAGGGTGATTCAGGGCAACCAGGTGGATGTTATCACCTGTTCCTTCCAAGAACACCAAGGTCAGTTCATTCAAGGCTCTTATAGTTCATCCAAGGAAGAAAGGAAAGAAGGCAGAAAAGGAGGGCAGTCAGCTAGAGTCAGGAGACTCCCTGTGCTCCAGCCACTCAGGGAGCAGACAGCAGGGCCTCACTATTCCCAGGAAGACTCTGAGGAGCTCCCCCCTGGCCTGGCCTTGGCTGCAGGCCGACCGAAGGTACTGGAGCAGTTGGGATGAGGAATTAGGAGCTGCGCTCAGGCACGCACTCACCCATGTGGATGTCTGTGTCCTGGCCTGGCCGTACCCAGGGATGTAGGACCAGTCTTGTTTTAGTGAGAACTCATTCCCAGGGTTGGTAGGGGTGAGTGAGGAGAGAGAGGGGACCGGGAGGAGTCCTTTGAAATTCCATGAGCCTTCCCTGGCTCCCAAGTCAAAGATAACTTGGGCCTTTAGAGTGAGCTGCCAGAGGAGAGCCAGCGATGCCCATGGCCTCCCCAACCCTAGCCCTTCTTGGCGACACAGGAAGCCTCTCCTTTAGAACCCTTCCCTACTGGGCGCCTGGGTGGCTCAGTCGGTTAAGCGACTGCCTTCGGCTCAGGTCATGATCCTGGAGTCCCGGGATCGAGTCCCGCATCAGGCTCCCTGCTTGGCAGGGAGTCTGCTTCTCCCTCTGACCCTCCTCCCTCTCATGCTCTCTGTCTCTCATTCTCTCTCTCGCAAATAAATAAAATCTTAAAAAAAAAAAAAAAGAACCCTTCCCTACCCCAAGCCCAGGGCTGGTGCCTTCACAGGACCTCTCCCATGCTCTACTTCACTTCTCTGGCATCTGAGACTCAGGTAAATGTGGGGGAGGCTACTTCTCCAGGCCCTTCCTCTCTGGTGCCAGCCACCCACTTGTCCTGCTCCTGCAGCGATGTTTCCAACCGTGCAGCCTCTGGGGAGCTCTCTGTACCTGCCCGGAGCCTCACCGGTAGAATTCTGGCAGGAAGGAGGCAGCTCTGTGTTTGGGAGCCAAGGCCTAGCTGGGCAGGGCTGGAACGGGTATCAGGCCTTGCTCACGGCATCTGCCTGCCACTTGCTGTGTGCGCAGCTGCTCAGTGGGTGTGGCTTTCTGGTGCCCAGGAGCCTTGATGGGATCTGGAAAGGGAAAGATGGGAAAAGAAGACTGAACAACCCAAAAAACAGCCAGTGCTAAGGCCGGCCGTACTTTCTTCATCCATTTGGGGGCTCTTCTTGTCACCATTTGTGGCCCATTTGGTTCCCTGGCTCACTGGACAGCTGCACAGATGACTCCAAACAAGTTACCTAAAGGCTTGTTGTCTCCCAGCCCCCAGGAGCCCTGAGCTAGGCGGCAAGCTTGGAGGAGTTCCTCCTGCCTCAGCCAGCCTCCCCTCCCCATGCCCCAGGATGCCGGTGACCCAGAAAGGAGCTGCCCTTCTAGTCCCCCTCCCCTCTCATCTGCACTCCTGGGAGGCTGGCCTCGTTGCTGCCGGGCCTCTGATTGGGTGTTAGTTCAGTGAGGCCCCGAGACCTGGCCTGGGCGGGTATGGGTATGGTTCCAGCACGTCAGGGGGACGGGAGAGGACAGGGGCTGGAGTTGGCCCCTGGACAGCCTCGACACAGGCCTGACCTCCCAGCGGTAGCTCAGGCCTTGGGGAAGGAGGGAGGGGCCTAATGCACGAGTGGACTGGGCCCCAGAATTTGGAAAGGCAACATAGTTTAAGAGGGAAACACAGATCAGGCCTTAGAGTCAGATAGACTTGGGTTTAAATTTAGACTTGTCACTTGTTAGCTGGGTTACCTTAGGCAAGTTACCCAGGCCCCTTAGATTTAGTCTCATCCATTAAACAGGAGTAATACTACCCATCATTGGGGATTGTTTTAAAAATTAAACCAGGTGAAATATAGAAGCACCTGGCATGGTGCTTGACACTTAGTAAGTGCTGTCTGGCAATGATTAATGCTATTTATTATTTTATTATTATTATTATTACTTTTATTAGTGCTGTTAGAACAGCCTGGTGGCACTAGGGAATAAGGATTGTCTGTCTAGGCTGTAGGGTCTGACCTAGGAGGTGACTTAAAGCAGGGGTCAGAGGCCAGGCCTAGAGGAAGGAGACTCGGGGCCTCCTGGGAGAGACAGCAGGGGTGGGCTAACGGTCCGGGAAATCCCCAGGGCAAACAGGGCCACCAGGTCCCTGTATATGAGGCCTTACTGGACCAGGCCCAAGATGGGCACTGAGTGTCCATCTGCACCTAAACCTATACTCTGTTCCAGGCCAGGGAGGGATGCAGAGCCTTAGGAGCTCAGTATGGTCATTGCCTCACCTTAGGGGAGACTCAGTGCAGGAGACCTGGAAATGGTGCTGAGGCTGACACACACTGTGGCCTCTGCTGACGAAGCTTCTGCTGAGTCAGCATCTGTGATCCCTCCACCACCCCACCTGCTTCTCCCCTGTGAGGGCCAGGAGGCCTCTGTGCTCATCCCCTTGGCCGCATCCTAACTGCTGCCCCTCCACCCTCAGATAAAAAGTGCTCAGGGATTGGGGTTCGTGCCGCCCCCGCCCCCTGCTCTTCTCATCACTGTCATCTATGACCTCTTGGTTACTGTGCCTGGTAATCAGTATTATCACTGCTGCCTCCTCTCCCCACCCCCTTCCTGCCTCTCTCCCTCCTCCTCGTTCTCGTCCTCCTCGTTCTCGTCCTCCTCGTCCTCGTCCTCCTCCTCCTTCCAATGTCCTCATCATAGCCGTCGCGTATTAAGCTCTTCAGTTTGCCAGCCTTCTTTAAATTCCTTCATTTGGCTCTCATAATGACCCTATTAGATCAGTTCTGTTATTATCCCCATTTGGGGGATTGGGAAACCGAGGCACAGGGAGAATGAGTTGCTTGCTCAAGCTCACACAACTGGCTAAGTGGTAGAGCTGAACTCACACCCGCTCTGCTTCTGGGTCTTCCTAAGAAATAAGCCTGACCACATCCCCCTCCTGCTTGGAATCCTCCATCAGTCAGCTCCCCCCTCCTCCCCCACAACATGGCCCATGAGAATGGTAGGAATTGTGGTTTACTGAGCCCCTCCACATGCCAGGCCCTGGGCTGCGTGATTTCCATGCAGTGCCTCAGTCAACAGCCCTCCACGGCCAGACCATGAATAGAATTAAGTGTAAGGGTAGCACCTGGAAACGTGTCAGAAATGCATTTGGGGTCCCACCTTCAGCCTTGAGAATGAGAAACTCTGGGGGCAGGCCCA